TTCAAAYTTGGCTGGCTTAACAGCGGAGGTTCGTGASACTSTGTTGATAGCTCCAGGGGCGTAGCCGCGGYATTGACACTGCTCGGAGAAACKGATCCCTTGTGMTGATTCAAGGATAGCCAACAAAGTTAACAAAATGGCCATACACGCTCTTGGTTGTGTCCTAGTCATTTTCAGGTAATTTTGGAAGTCTTGAATACTGGTGTCCGTAAAGCGGCGAATGCGTTCAACTATAGAGGAACATTCAGTAGTGATAAGTTATTACAAAAATAAAGTTTGCAGGAGCGTGTACATAACACTAGGGAATGAAACCACGTAGTACGATGAAGCAGTTAAATAGAGGATATTACATGGGCGCGCGGTGATACGGATTTTATCTTCGAGTGTTGAAAGATCTCTAGAAAATATTATAGAAACTAACAAACTAACAAGCGAATAGAAGCACCTAACAAGCGAATAGAAGCACCTAACAAGCGAACAGGGGTCCATACTTTTTTTCACTTATTCACATATTTTTCTACAGTTTTTTATCGACTTATTCGAACTTTTTAGCTACGCCTTAACTTATTAAACATTTTCTTATCGAATTTTAAAGGGACACTGTCAATGGCACGCATGCGCGAGTAAACTNCATTCCCAGGGTTGCTGCAGTCACTCCACTGCCCTTGTTGAAGTAGTCCAGACCTTGCTGAAGAATAGTGGTTTCAAATTTGGCTGGCTTAACAGCGGAGGTTCGTGACACTGTGTTGATAGCTCCAGGGGCGTAGCCGCGGTATTGACACTGCTCGGAGAAACTGATCCCTTGTGATGATTCAAGGATAGCCAACAAAGTTAACAAAATGGCCATACACGCTCTTGGTTGTGTCCTAGTCATTTTCAGGTAATTTTGGAAGTCTTGAATACTGGTGTCTGTAAAGCGGCGAATGCGTTCAACTATAGTGGAACATTCAGTAGTGATAAGTTATTACAAAAATAAAGTTTGCAGGAGCGTGTACATAACACTAGGGAATGAAATCACGTAGTACGATGAAGCAGTTAAATAGAGGATATTACATGGGCGCGCGGTGATACGGATTTTATCTTCGAGTGTTGAATGATCTCTAGTAAATATTATAGAGGATATTACATGGGTGCGCGGCTCACTCGTGAGAGATCTTTTCAACACTCGAAGATAAAATCCGTATTTCCAAGCGACCATATAATATTCTGTTTATTATATAATTACATATGAAAGCAAATTATGTCTTAAAATGCCTTTTTTCTTACTTCCACTATATAGAGAAATCTCGAATGTGTCACTAGTGAAAATAACAACGAAATGGAGAAATATAGGTCTTTCATAGATAATTATATGATAATTTTGAATACTAGAAAAATTAAGATTATGGCTCTGCACTTTACCTTACAATGAATGCGCAAATTGTCGAGCTAAGTTAGCGACGTATATAAGACTGATTTAACTAACAAAGATGACTGAATTTTGAGATAGGCTTACCTTTCTGTGGTAGTATCTAAATGATGACTTCTCTGATGTCCCTATGTATTTAATTGAATGCTAGCTAGGAACTGATCCAGAAGAATGGTCACCTTTGTTATCGACTAACATGATTCAATTCTTCTGATACATTGTCAAAGTCATGATTAATTAGTAACTAGACGCTCCTGGAGCGTGAAGTCGGACTAGCTATTTTTGAAAATTCATTAAGACACGAGTTCACGAGTGATCGAAAGGTTTTAAGTTATATTCTGTCTAATCATAGATGATTATATTATGAATGTAAATTATGGCGTAGAATATGTATTTTCTACTTTTAATACATATAGTGAAAGCAAGAATGCGTTACTTTCACTTTAATTAATGTACTGTTCGAAACCGTTTATTCACACGATACGATATTTCTTTTTGACTGCTCTCTGCAAACGACTTCAAAACGATAGAAATCTAAATTTGACCTAAAAGGTCATGTAAGGTCTCAGTTTTAGCATCGTATCATAGGCCTTCAGTAGGTTTAGAACCAGTAGAATACAAATAACAAAACTCGCTTATGCAACGGAATGCTTGCTTTACATGTGGGATGCATAATTACTCAAACGCTGTGTCTATATGGCAGGTTACCGGTCGAGTTCTTGAAAATGCTAAATGGCCGGCAGCTGATAAAATGTGTTTTTCCCTCTGTTATTATCTAAACAAGCTCCCAAACTCCAAAATTAAACTCTAAGAGTGAAATSAGCGTGTTGAAGCTTACATAAACGTCGCAACGAAATTCTTTGTACTTATTTTGCGAACTTGAACTGACTGTTGGCACTCGCATTCATTTTGCTTAGCAGTATTGCTGTTCTATTAAAGAATGAAGTTTTTTCAATGACATCAGGTTATGATACTAGATTATTATTTACAAGTTTGAGAAGATCGGATAAAACACTACTTGCGCATCTTAACAATAGATGACATTTTTAACAATTCRTGACATCAAGACTCGAGTTCAGCATGGATGAAACCTTCATGACACCTCGGGGTTGCTTGAACGAAAAACATTTATTCTATTAAGAAGGGTGTACACTTTTGTTATATAAAATTCCCCAGGGATTAGAAACAAAAGAGTTAGCACTGCTGGCAAAGCATATTATTTGGCACACCTCACGTAATTATGGGGTACTTAAGGTAACGCCAAACTTTCTACTTTCCATACTTGAAAAACAAAAGATTTTAATTAGTCAAGTTCAGAGCTCGAAGAATCTATCAGACGTAAACACTTCATCTCTACTGCTGTGCAAGCGTTAAACCGCAATGTGAGTTCAGTCTGCTTTGGCCATTTAGACGGGGTATCTCACTTGAGATAGAGGTGATAACCCAGTAAATGATTGCGTGTTACTGTGAGATCACCCATGATGAAACGTTATCGTCACACCTCGGAGCTGCTAACATGAGAAAATGTTATTCTAGGTATAAAGGGCGTACTCTTTTGTATTAAAAAAATCCATAAAGAAATGAAAAATCTACAAAGTTAGTAGCCAGCCTAGCGATCGCATGTTAATATTACTGAGAATAGGGTATTAGAGCGTGCCAAGTGAAGTAGTGTATTTGTGGCTTCTTCACAGAGTTAGTAGAGGGGAACAGTTCCCCTCAGCTGACTCTGCAGATTATTAGTTTTTAATTGAAGGAAACTTATGAAAATCTTTGAGCAGGAGAAGTAAGACCTATANTGGATTTGATTTTAGATGGACTTTATTTTTAATACATTTTCATCCGCTCCACACTTGGTGAACTCTCAGTCATAGGCACTAGTAATTATGCTAATTGGGCCATCTTCTTCACACAGAAGATTATAGTATTAACTGGCGGAAAGTTTAGAGAGGTTTTGAGCATGTCGCTATTGTCACTCAATCATCGAACCGTTTAACGCTAACATCCCTCTGTCACCCTTTTGTTTCAAGCTGATTAATTAAATTCAAATCTCGAACTCTAATAATGACAGAAAACAACACAGCATTTCCAGCTTTTTGAGACCGTCATTCCTTTCTCACGAGAAGGAACAGATCCAACCAAATTTACAGACAGCATATTGCAATGCATTATTATAACTTATGTTTATGAATTGATTAGATTCCCAAGCTCTTGTGAAATCGAATGCTTCATTGCATAGCAGGGTAGTAGGGCGCACCCATCACATAACTTTACTGCCATAAACTTAGATTTAATCAGTATAGACAGAAGATGCTTCAACATACTACCTTCATTTAAGTTTTATATAACTGAGAAGTGAAACTATTTTCTGCATTGTTACGAGCCGACACCAACTTGGGTTAAATAGGGGAACAGATAAAGGGAACACGCAATTCATAATTGCAAAACCTAAACCTAACTAACCCTAGCCCCAGCCCGTTCCCCTAATCATCATCAAACCTAACCCGGTTATTTCTAAAGCTATAACCCAAAAATGAAAATGTGCCTAAACCTAAGGATCGTACATCTAGCCCTACATGATGTCCACTCTCTATCTGGCCTCAAAAATCCACAAAATGGCAGAAAAAAGACAGAAAGTCCACTAGTCATAGACAGTATGCATTTGTAAAAAGTACAGGACGCTCTACGCACTGGTGACAAGAAGATCAATATTTAAGATATATGATTGATACCCTTACCTTGTATACCTTTAGTGGAGATGTTTCAAATGGTGTCGACTGTCTCTATCGCCCTTCTTTTATTGACGTCCACAATAGGAGAACCCATGGGAAATCATCATATAGGT